CCCCAGGCGATGGGAGCAGAAGTGACAATCCCAGAGGAGGGGACAAGGTTGTCCGAAGGCAGGAGGTGGCAGAGGGGATGCTGCTGGGTCTGTCCTGGAGCTGCACGACAAGTTCCCGAGTCGTTAAAGCTCCTCCATAAAAAAAAAAAATAGTTTGTGAAGCTTTAAGTATTTTTCCCTATGGATTTCAAAGATCCCTATAGAACAGCTTGGTATTTCTGAAGGAGAGCTTAAAGCTGTTACGGGGAGTAATTCAGCTGCCCAGGAGGTGATATCACAGATGCTCAAATGACCCAAGTCACGCAGGGCATCGCTCCCCACTGCCCCTGGGTCCCACCAAAGCACGGCCACAAGTCCCACCACTTGGGACTTTAATTAATTTATAAGACGGACACACCAAGAGAGAGAAGAAAACAAAGCACCAAAGCTTCCCAGATGACAAAGTAGTTAAAAATACCACCTTTGTGGTACTTCGCAGGCTCCTTCACCCCCTGTACCCCCTCCCTGTCCCCCTGCTGTCCCCCCGTGCTGTGGCAGAGGGTCAGACCCCACATCGAGGGGTGAAACCTGGGCTCTGCAAGAGTTCACGTGTAACTCTGCCTTGGCAGTTAAGAAGTTACCTGAATAAAATTTTATGTAGTCCCTATAAAATTATATATCCCGGTAGGCATTTTGAACTTTAATGGACTAGTTACTGTGATGGCTATAAAGTATCTTCCATTTACCTAGAACAGACGTGAGCATTAACACTGATTATTACAGGAAATGGGATTCTGCGTCAAGTTGGATAGGTTATAAGAGGATACAAACTTTAACTCTGGTAGACCTTAGTTTTGGGGGGGTTTTGGTTTTTTTTTCTCATTACCACGGATAGATCTTTGCCGAGCGCATCCAGACTTAGGCTGCAGACAGGAACTTGTGCTCAGCCTGATTTAGGGGGGGGGGCTCAGCCGACGGGGGTGTGGGGGAGGCAGCGGGGGCTGGAGATGCCGCAGCCTTTTGTTGGACTCCCGTACCCTACCGTGGCACTGCAGAAACCAGGGAAAAACTTTTGCTCATCGCCCTGCCGTATTCCTGCTGCATCCCTCTGCCGGCAGCCTGCTGCTGCCAAGCCAGGCGCCGGGACCAGCTCTTCAGGATTATTTTTTATTTATTTTTTTTTTTTAGTAGGGACACTTAAAGCACCTTGGATGAATCATAAGTCAAGTATTACTGGTACTGCAGCTTCTGTAGCTTAATATTTACTGAAAAAGTAATCTATTTGCATTAATTTGCATTATTGAGTCTCTGGATATTTTTTGTTGTTAGGGATGATATAAACTCAAAAGTTAATTTTTCATTATTATTTTTTTTTTCCTTTCTTATATGAATTGTTTTCACAGAATAACACAGGGTTGGAAGGGACCTCCTGGGATCATCTAGTCCAATCCCCCTTTTTATTGCTGTTAATGATATCAATGAATGAAAGAAGGGTTTTTTGGGCTGAGCGGACGGGGGTGTGGGGGAGGCAGCGGGGGCTGGAGATGCCGCAGCCTTTTGTTGGACTCCCGTACCCTACCGTGGCACTGCAGAAACCAGGGAAAAACTTTTGCTCATCGCCCTGCCGTATTCCTGCTGCATCCCTCTGCCGGCAGCCTGCTGCTGCCAAGCCAGGCGCCGGGACCAGCTCTTCAGGATTATTTTTTATTTATTTTTTTTTTTTAGTAGGGACACTTAAAGCACCTTGGATGAATCATAAGTCAAGTATTACTGGTACTGCAGCTTCTGTAGCTTAATATTTACTGAAAAAGTAATTTATTTGCATTAATTTGCATTATTGAGTCTCTGGATATTTTTTGTTGTTAGGGATGATATAAACTCAAAAGTTAATTTTTCATTATTATTTTTTTTTTCCTTTCTTATATGAATTGTTTTCACAGAATAACACAGGGTTGGAAGGGACCTCCTGGGATCATCTAGTCCAATCCCCCTTTTTATTGCTGTTAATGATATCAATGAATGAAAGAAGGGTTTTTTCACATTGGTGGCTGGGTCAGAGCTCTCTGCCACCTTATTTCTGCCTCTTTTGGAGCCGCTGCCTCCCCAGGCGAGCGCCTCGGAGCACGCGTGGTCCCAGGTCGGGCTTTGTGTCAGGCACCAAGACAAAGCCAAAGAAAGAAAGTTTAGTGATGTTTATAGAAGAGCACGTTGTTAACAGCATTTATTTTATTATTATTTTTTTTTCAAGCAGCAAAGTAGCAAGATGCTGAAAATGTTTCCTGAAGAGCCAAACATTTTTCCAAAATAAAAAATCAGTTTCTTTTGCTGGGCACTTTGTAACTACAGGGGTGCCTGTTCTTTGAAGCCCTGATTAATATAAATGAGTTGTAATTTTCTGACCAAGCCATCCCAGTTCACATATATTATTCCATTGGCAGACATGTGGTCTCCACAGCTGTCCCCTCATTTGTGTATGAAATGGAAACACTGGTGGCATTTGTAGGTTACCATAGTTACACGAACAATACACGTGTGAGGCTTCATCCTGCCAAGCTCCAGATTTTTTCCTGGCAGACATTTTGTAGACACAGAACTGAAGAAAATCTATGTAAAGTGTTGTGGTTGGGTTTTTTTTTTTTTGGAGGGGCATAAATCCCTTTCTCCTCCTCTCTGTTCCTGTAACGCTCATTGACGGGGAACCCGCACCTCAGCCTCGCCACAGCTGGTCCTTCTGCCTTCTCCTGGTTGGAAATGCCATCCTGGGAGAGGTGGGATGCTCTCAGGAACCCCTAATTCCAGGCTCTGCTCGAGAGCAGTGAGGTAATTAGCAGGATCAGGCCTACGGCAAATAGAAAACATTTCTTTCTTAAAACCAGCTTGCAGCACAGCAAGGGCTACACAAAATAGAACTTTTTGAGTGGGAATAGTTGTCTCCGGGTTGTGTTCTGCGGTTGGTGATGCCCGGGGGGTCCTGGGGGCAGAGGGGCAGGAGGAGCTACTCCCCAGCAGCAGGAATCCCAGAAAGTGCCCTGAAAAATATTCCCATACTTGGTTTTGGAATGAGTGTGTGCCCACTCCGGGAAGGAGGATGGAGTTGGCAGAAATGGGGGAGCTGGTCAGAACCCCAGTCTGTCGGTGTTGACACCCAGTACTAACGGGGCTTCTCTCAGACTGGGAGCGCTTACATTCTGCCAAGAGGAATCAAAGAGCTACTTTGATGAGTACATCCTCAGGAGGCTGCTTCTTGAGTTAGGCTGTGACTTTTTTCCACTCTTGTTCTTTCCCTGTAGCTGAGTAATTAAGTCCTCTGCTAATGGACTTTATAAGGTCAGGAACAGAACCTGCCACCGTACAGGTGGCCAGATTAAATCCTTCCAAACCACATTCCCTTCTTTCTTGCTCAAAGCCCTGCAACTTTATTCACATTTTCTTTTTTGCTGTTTAGATGTTTCTTTCATTTTTCTACATATGGCACTGAAGGAAAATACTGGATTGGCCTATTTTGTATTGGCCTAATTCTCCTCCTGTTGGAGACGGCAGAAGTCTTCAGCGTCAGTGGGAAGAGAATTAGTCTCTGCTCTTAAATTCTACCACAAAATGTTTTTATAACTTCACTTTCTAATTCCTAAGATCTTAATTTGGGGATACAAGCCAGTATTTTCTTGACTTTTCAGCTGGCTGAACTATCAGAAGAATGGGACCTGTTTTTTTTACCTGGAGTACAGTTTCTAAAGTTCAAGTATTTGAGATGCAATAGATACCTATTGCTTTTTTCTTTTCTTTTCAACTTAAAGAACGAAAGGGCAAAGCCATCGTAAGTAACGGTCTTGAAATATTCAGCAGGCTGCTGTGTGGAGAACGGGCAGCAGTGATGAGAGGGCTGTAGAGAAACAGCTTTCCCTTATTTTATTGGGTACGGTGGTCTTACCACATAACTCTCTTCCCAAAGGTGCCACCTTTAGCCCTCTGTGGTGACACTGGACAGTATTTTCCCTGGACACTTCCCAAACTGAAGCGCTCCATTTAACTCTGGAGGCAAAGATTACTTATGGGGTTTATTTAGAGATTTTAGAGACTGTCAGCATCTCATTTCCAGGTATTTAATGTAATAAAGTCTAGTGAATCCAGCAATTTATGCATCTGTCAGCTTTGATTAGAGCAGGAGTCCCAACTGCTTCTTGAAGCCAATCCCCCCTGAAGGTATCTGCCAGGGTTTGCCTCTCGCTGGTTACTCCAGCCTTGGCAAACGTGGAGACCCTATGGCTGCTCCCACCATGGACTTGGGGAGGTCCAGCCCCTCACCTGCACCCAGCGATGTCCCATGGGGCTGGGGAGGAGCTGGGGTGGGCAATGGAGAGGTGCCTTGTGCAGAGAGGGCTCTTCTCGCCTGGGAAGGGAGCAAAACCCCAGGCAGGTTCATCTTCATCTCCAAAGGGTTGCTTTTGTAGACAAGCAGCAGGTCAGAAAGTCAAATGCAGGACTGACAATGGCATCGCTGACACTGGGAGAGAGGTGGCTTTTGTAAGGATGTATCCGGTAGGTCCACGGGACACTCCTTGGGTGTGCATCAAATATATCTTCCAGAAATACCAAGTTCTGGTTTCATGTACACATATTCAATACCAAAGACGTTACAAGGTTAAGGCTGAGACCAAAATCAGATTCCCCTGCGTTCAATAAATACTTTTCGACCCTGTAGAAATTCCACCACTGGCTGTGCCATTAACCCCCAGCTCTGGAACTGCCCTCTTCATCCCTTTCACCAGAGGTCACTAGTTCTTATTTTATCAGAGTCAGGTTTTAAAGATAACATTAATAGTTTGGAGAACACATGAGGCTGTTTTAGTTCAGAGGAAATGTTCCCTGGGTTTCTGCTCTGTACTGGAGTCTGGGGTGGCTCAGCCTGGAGAAGAGAAGGCTCCAGAGAGACCTTATTGTGGCCTTTCTGTACTTAAAGGGGGCTACAGGAAAGATGGGGGCAAACTTTTTAGCAGGGCCTGTTGCAATAGGACAAGGCACAATGGCTTTAAACTACAAGAGGGGAGATAGAGATGAGATCTCAGGAGGAAATTCTTTGCTGTGAGGGTGGTGAGAGCCTGGCCCAGGTTGCCCAGAGAAGCTGTGGCTGCCCCATCCCTGGAGGGGTTCAAGGCCAGGTTGGAGGGGGCTTGGAGCAACCTGGGCTGGTGGGAGGTGTCCCTGCCCAGGGCAGGGGGTGGCACTGGATGACCTTGAAGGTCCCTTCCAACCCAAACCATTCTGTGATTCTATATATTGTACAATCATTCATCATTCTATCATATCTATTTATTGTCAATGCCTAATTTTATTTGATTTATCGCTACTTTTGTGCCATCAATGTAACTTGAGTCATCGAGCAAAATGCAGTCTTTAGAGCTTGTCTTTATGTAAAAATGGGATTCTCACTGAAGCCCTGGCTAACCCCCTGCCTCTGGGACACACACCGTGTGTGGCACCACCTCAGCTCCCCGGGCAGCTGGAACCCCTGGGTTTGTCCAAAGGACTCAGTCCCCTTGGACCAAGCCCAGGTTTTCTGTAACTTCCAGGGGCTGGTCACCAACGTGGTGAAGAGTCAGACTAAGGAACTTCTAAGAAACACATCAAACTATTTCTGAGAGAATTACTGAGCTTCTCCAAAATTTGGTAGAATAGCATGTTTTTGTTTTTTTTTATAAAATACCAATCAAAGCTTGGATTGTCGTCTTGTAATTTGAAAGTTTATCCTTGATATAATGAATCCTACATTTTCTGTTATTTCATGCATCGTATGATTTATTTGACTCATCAAGTCCAAAGATACCTAGTAAATACATACCTTGCTAATGTGCTGCATATAATTACTAGGATGCAGATGAGCTACTGATTGGCCTTGCTCAATTTTTAAATTACACATGATCCATCACTCTAACAGAAATAGAGTAAATATTGATAGTTACGGAGATCCACCACTCATAATAGGCATTGCAGTGACTTGTAAATGCATTGCAAAGCCAACTCATTTACCCCAGAGATGAAGCAGTTAAGTGAAGCATTTGCAAAAAGAAAAGTTTTTAAATAGCTGCTCGAAAACGGGTCCCTGAAATTGTTTTATCATAGAATAAAGCACTGAGTAAAACCAGATGAGCGTTCTTTATAAGTTCATTGGCAAATACATTCTCCCTTGTCCTTCTGCCCCCTTTAAGTCTAGTTTTTGAACAAGTCTAGTATATACAAATTAAACATCACTGTGCCTGAATGAATCGCCTTAATTAGGTAAAGACTTTACCTATCAAGCATCGATAACTTGAAATTTTGAGAGAAATAACTTCTCCTCTCTTTTCTGCAATAGGCAGCAATTTTAGTACCTCTGTATTTTGCAAGCACTTATGAAATAAACCCATCTGTGGAAAAACTGCTGACTTTGCCATGATGACTGAGAACTAAAGCTAAAGGAACGAGTTATAGGTCTATTCTTAAACATCCGAGTACATTAAATATGATTTCTCTCTCTCTCTCTCCTTCTCTTCCTCTTCATCTCATGAACTTCCCAAAGCAAGACCGTTATCTGTTTTCTGTATGAAACAAAGGCAGTCTCAAAACTTAGGTGGTATTTGAGATAAAGAAATATAGTTAAATATAGGCTATTAACATTTTCAGCGTTCCCAGTTGGCTGAGCCTTCCTTTCCCGATGACACGGTAGATGACCTGCTGTGCATCCCAAGGAATACTACTGAAACCATTTTGGAATGAAGCAATGATGGAAAAGACACACTCTGTAAAGCATGTATTTTCTCAGTATAGTGTAATGCTGTGGTGGGTTATCAGTTCTGAGTGGAAGAAGGATGTCCTCAATAAAATGAAAAATCTTCATGTAGAAGCCCATTCAAAGGTGCAAGGGGTAGGAAGGATCACGTAATACAGCTACCAAACTGGAGAGAAAAAGCCTTTTTTCTTAGATCAGAGTAAAGCCTGAGGTCAGAGTAGGACCAAAACCAAATCTGCGGCCACTTAATGGAATTGCTTCTACCCCATCGTTGGGGATTTGACTTCCAAATCTTTGTGTTGGTGCTAACAGCCTTTCTATTAGATCTCAGGACCTCCCATGATAAATGCATTTATTTTGTTATTGGCATGTTCACAATCTTGAGTGAACAGTAAGGTGTCTCCATGTTGGTCAATGAATACATGGGTTTATTAACTTTTATAGGTAAATACAGCTCAGAAATGGAAATTTGATCTTGCAAGCATATAACTCCTAGAAAAAAATCAATAAAAGTCTGTTTTATTCTTTAAGGGCTGAAGCCTGTGTATGCACACTACATGTCTGAACTGCACAGATATAGATGGAGGCTAACTGTAAAATACAGTTTTAAAAATTTGATTCTTAAGCATATAGTACAGCCACAGGAAATGGAATTATTCAGGTAGAGTATACCAAGGACCAGAAAAAGAACTCTCTTTTAACTGAAGCTATAGATGGTTGGCTCATTACATATATACATACCCACATACATATAATTTTTTAATAAAAAGTCTTATACATTTCCTACAGCCGGCACTGTTATGTTGATTTTATAAATACATACTGAGATACTGACTCATTTCAGTTTTTATTTATCGGCTGCCATTTCTAGCCTAGGATTTTTTGGCATCCTCTCTGGTAGTAACAGCTACTGACACGCCGGGGTCTTTCCCGACTGTGGGGGATCCTGAATGACTCAGAAAACTGGAGTTCGATCTAGAACTGTGTAGGAAGCAAAATAATCACACTGCCAGAAAGCCAGTCAGCAAAAAGAGAGGAAGAGGGGTTTTTCTGTTGC